TATCTGCTCATCGTTCCCTGTTTCCTGGAAGGTCACATGACAGCATAAGATCCAGTCTGGCAACGTGGAACTTAGCATGAGTGTCTCCGTTTTGATTTTTAGTCTGGTCTATGAGGAGCCAGTACAGGAAACTAGTCAAAAATAATGGTGTGTGTTGGACTCTGAGCACCACACCCTACAGCCTGAGGTTCTAGTGTCCTGACAGGGGACTATCAGGGACTATCAGGTGCAAAAAGAGGTTTTCCCTAAGGCCCATTTATCTTTCTAGAGATGGATCTAGTTTTAGCACAGCTTGGTTGCCTGCACCTGTAATCTGAGCATTCCAGAGGCCAAGGCAGGAAGAGTTCATTGTCAGAGTGGGTCACTGTAAGTTCCAAGGCAGCCTGGTCTACACAAGGAGATCCTTTCTCTAGAAGCAAGGAAGGGAGGGAGGGAAGAAGGGAAGGAGGGAGGGAGGGAAAAAGGGAAGGAGGGAGGGAGGGCCAGCCAGATTTGTTGGAACAGGCCCAGAGTTCAAGCTACTCTGGAAGCTGAGGCAGGAGAATCACAGCCTGGGCTATGGAGTTCAAGACCAGCCTAACCAATTCAGCGAGTCTCTGTCTCAAAGTAAAAAGAGGGTACGGATACAGTCCGTGGAGGTATACTTGCCTAGTATGTGCAAAGCCTTAGGTCCAATCCCCATGACAGCCACACACACAGAGACAAACAAACAGGAGAAACCCATTTTTACTATATGCATGTGTGTGGAAGACACACGAAAGAGACCACCCAAGAAAGGCTGGATGAAGTTTATTTGACCGTCCAGGGGTCACAGAAGAACAGAAGTTTTGGAGAGGGAGAGAGGAAGACAGGGGAGGAGGGACAGAGGGGCTGAGAGAGGGATGGAAGGGAGAAAAACAGTGGCTCTAGATTAGAATTGACTCGCAGAGGAACTCGGACCTTGCTCCCATCTACCCACTACTCTTCTTACCTTGCAACCTTTGCTCCCCATGCGTTCCTTCCCCTCACTCTCTCATTGTGTTTTAACTCCCCCACGCTACCCCGCCCTCAAAAAGAGCCCAGGCAGCTGCTTCTGTCTTTGCCTCACAACAATACCAAAAGCTTGCCTGGCCCTTCTTTACTTCATGCATATGGTGTTTTGTCTGCCGGTGTGCACAGCAGAGGAGGGTACTAGATCCCATAGGACTATGATTATAGACAGTTGTGAGCCTCCATGCAGGTGCTGGGAATTGAACTTAGGGCCTCTGGAAAGGCATTTTCTTAAACACTGGGCCTTCTCTCCAGTCCCATCTGGCCCCCCTTAGGGACTTTTATTTTGTGCGACTCGAATGCATGTGTATATGATAAGAATAGATTTATCTTGCTTTTGAATTATTCTTTCTTTTTCTTTTTCTTTTTCTTTTTTTCTTCTTTTTTTGAAACACTACATAGCTCAAACTGGTCTTGAACATTCTGTGTAACTCAGGCTGGCCTTGAACCCCACAATCCTCAGTGTGTTGCTCCCCCACAACTCTGTCTCATTTTTAAATTTTATTTTTATAATTTGCAGTGGGGGGGGCACAAGCTGTGGCATCCATGTGGAGGTCCAAGGACAATTTGTAGGAGTCAGTTCTCTCCTTCTACCACGTGCGTCCCGGGGTGCAAACTCAGGCCCTCAGGCTTTAAAAGTAAAGCGCCTTTACTCTCTGTAGGGGTTTGAGTGAGATGTCCACCCCACCCCCACCTCCACAAGTCTCTGGTGTTTGAATTCTTGGTCCTCATGGCAGCACTGTTTGGGCAGGCTCAGGGATTGTGGCCTTACTGGAGAAAGTGTGCCACTGGGGTGGTCTTCAAGGCATCAAAAGCCATGCATGTTTCCACTTTGCTCTCTCTGCTTCCTGTTTGCCATTCCGGGTGTGAGCTCTCCAGCCTCCATGTCTGCCTGCCTGCTGTTGCTCTGCCTCATCATGATAGTGAGGGACCCTTATCCCTCTGGAACCTAAGCCCAAAATAGACCCTCCCTCCTCTAAGTTGCCTTGGTCTTGATATTTTACCATAGCAATGGGAAAGTAACTACTGCACCCACTGAGCCACCTCACCAGCCCCTCTTTGGTTCTGTGAGACAGGGTCTCATGTGACCCATCGTATAGCTGTGACTGTGACTCTGAACTCCTAATGCTCCTGCCTCCGCTTCCCAAGTGCTAGGATTATAGATGTGTACTATCAAGCCCAGCACATCTATGAAGTCCTCAAGGTGGTTTTTCTATCTAGCAAACAAAACCACTCCCCTTCCTCACTTCCTGAAGCCAATAATTAATTTGATATGTCAGAAAACCCTGGTTCATAGGTCAATATGTGATCTGAAATTGTTTTTTTGTTTGTTTGATTGGTTGGTTTGGTTTTTTGTTTTGTTTTGTTTTTTTGCTTTTGTTTTTTTCAAGACAGGGTTTCTCTGTGTAAGTGCCTGTCCTGGCTCTCCCTCTGTAGACCAGGCTGGCCTCGAACTTACAGAGATCCACCTGGCTCTGCCTCTCCAGTGCTGATATTAAAGGCGTGCACCACCACTGCCCAGCTGTGACCTAAAATTCTTTAGCAAGTCCCAAAGGGTCCTTGCAATGATCAGGAAATACCACAACCAAAGTTTCCACCTCAATTTTTAAAATATAGTGTGTGTGTGTGTGTGTGTGTGTGTGTGTGTGTGTGTGTGTGTGCAAGCATGAGAGAGGAGGGTGTGCCTTTGGGAGTAGGTTACCTACATTCACCTTGAATTGCAGGCATCAAACCCAAGTGCCCAGGCTTGTGTGTCAAGGGCTTTCACCTGCTGAATCGTCCTGCCAGTCACCAGCTCGATCTTTGGCCCAGAGAGTATAGACAGAGGCCACAACAATGTCTTCTTTTGATAGAGAATATTGTTCCTGGGCAGGGTGGTATGCACCTTTAATCCCAGCACTTGGGAGACCGAGACAAGATCTCTCCTGAGTTTGAGGCCAGCCTGGTCTACATATTGAGCACCAGGACAGCCAGGACTACATAGAGAGACCCTACCACAAACAAACAAAACAAGAAGGAGGAGGAAGAGGAGGAGGAAGGTAAGGAGAAGAGGAAGAAGGAGGAAGAGGAGGAGGTGACAGCATGATGGAGGAGAAGCCTGACGGGGAACGTGGATGAAGTGGGAAAGTGGGGGCTAGCTTCCTCAGAGTTCACCTTTAGTTCTGATGTAAGCTCTGAAAATTTCTCTTTTTAAAAGGTTTTTATTATTTTTAATTACGTGTAGGTGTGTGTGTGTCTGCGTGTAGATATGTGCATGTGAGGGCAGGTGCCCTTGGAGTCTAGAGGTGTCAAACCTCTCTCTGGGAGCCAGAGTTAGAAATGGGTGTGGGTGCTGGGAATCGAACCCGGGTCCTCTGGCAGAGCCACAGGTACACTAAACCTCTGAGCCCATCTCTCCAGGCACTGACCTTTTCTTATCAATTTCCTGTCCTTCAACATCTTTTGAGTCTCATGATACTGGAATATTGAGGTGTATAAGAATGATGGAGCCTTTCTCTTCTTGGGGAGCTAGGATCCGGGAACCTGGCAGCCACCAAGGCTGCCCTGAGCCAATGGCTTTGGGGTTCTCTCATCTCTCAAACCCAGAGAATGAAATTCATGGACCAAATAGAGTGAATTTTAGAGAATTAGAAGGGAGGATGGAGGAGGGAGTAAACAGAGCTAGAACAGAGCTCCTGTAGAGCGGGAGAGGTCCCAGGAAGTAAAGTATCACCTAGCTGCTTCTCTGGGGCTTTTTGAAAGGACATAGGCACACCAGACATTTAATCCTAGTATTCATGCGGCAGAAGCAGGAGGATCTCAGAGTTGGAGGCTAGCCTGGTCTATCTAGTGAGTTCTTGGACAGCTAGGGCTATATAGAGAGACTCTGTCTCAAAATAAATAAATAAATACAATAAAGTACTTATGCCAGAAACAGGGGTGTGGTATGGGGAGGGAATGAGTTAGCATTCCTGGCATCCAGCAAAGACAGTTGAGAAATGGCTACCTTGGGGTCCCAGCCCTACCTGACACCTTTCTGTGGCTTAGTCCCATCATTTTCCCCTTCTGAAGAAGTAACCCTAAAATCTTTAGGAACCAGACCAGGGAGCAGAGCACCAAACACTTCCAGCCTCTAGCCAGGACAGGACTAATTTTGGCTTATGGCTGAGGACATCACTGGAGGGGACCCCTGCCCTGTGGAACCAGCTTCCGTCTCCTAAAACTCCTTCATCAATTTCTTGTACACTGACAATGTTATCCTTTCTTTTCTGAGCTGTTTCTAAATTCCAACCAAAGTAGGGCCCCCAGCTTACCACCATCTTTCCTTTTACTACCAGACTCTGACTTAGCCACAGGGATATCCAACTTCCCCATCGAGGAAAACATACAGCCTGGTTATCTTTAGTTCAGTCTCCACATTTTCCCAAATATTTGCAAGTTATCCTAACTATCAAAACAAAACTGTCTGGTATACCAGATGGCAGTTTTTCTTGAATGTGTTCCTCCTTCTTCACATTTCTTGTTCTGTTCCATTTTGGCTTTTGAGACAGGGTCTCAAGTAGCCCCCAGACTGGCCCTGCATGCACTGTTCAAGAATCTCGAACTCTGGTCTTCTTGCCTCCCAAGTGCTGTATTGCTGGTAGACATATTGTCCTTGTATTTGTGTCCCTTCATGGCCTTTTCTCCTGAAATTGACAACCTTCTGTGCTAGCTGGAGGCTTATGCTTCAGACTAACTTAATCACCTCCTGAGAGTAGGTGGTTAAGGTTTCACCCCAGCAGGGTCAGTTCCTCCCACAGGGTCTGATGTTCATGCTGTGTATTTATGGAAATGTGAGGGACTCCAGGCACTGGGTGGTCACCCCTTATGTGTGCCTTTCTAAGTGAGCCAAGAAAGGAACTTTTGGCCCAGGAACAAGGCATCTTGTTTAGTTTATTCATATTTGGGGATGGAGCATACCCAGGTCACACTGTATGTGTGGCGGTCAGAGGACAACTTGCAGGAGTCAGTTCTCTCTTCCACCTTGTGCATCCCCAGGATTGAACTCAGGTCATCAGACTCCGCAGCAAGCACCTTTACCTGCTGAGCCACTTTGCCAGCCTGGAGGCATGTTTTGGGGGGAGTCTCAAAAGAAGGCCACCATCTGTCTCAGGGAGTTTCTCCAGACACCACCACCTACTTGCTGGGTTAGAAGGAACTTGGGGCTTCTTATCATCATCATCTTTACAGCCAGTCATCAGAATTTCTAAACTGAATGGGGTGAGGCTGCAAAGAAGATGAGCAGGAGACAGGAAACAAAGTTAGATGTTGGAGGAGCTGCAGCAGAAGAAGACCCAATGCTAGCAACAAGCGTGCTGAGACAATGTTTTGAAACAATAATAGGATGTCCAACATAACAACCAGCTTAGTATAAACCAACAGGCCATCAACCAAAACAAAAGGCCGGCAGCGGAGGGTGCAGGTTACCTACTGATTCGCCATTATCCACTCAGAGAGACAGCATGGATGGTGACAGCCCCGTGCTGGGACCTGGGGCCAATCCAGATTACACCTCAGGTGAAAATGATTTATCTCTGAGGTCCCACATCACAGTTCTTGGTCCAAAGGGAGTAAGATAGTTCTTCAGAGCCAACTATGGCTGGAAACAGGGATTCAGACTGTCCCTCCCTCGTGGCATGCTCTACTGTGGAGGAGGTGACATGAACTTTTTTTTTTTTGATTTTTCAAGACAGGGTTTCTCTGTGTAGCTTTGCGCCTTTCCTGGATCTCGTTCCGTAGACCAGGCTGGCCTCGAACTCACAAAGATCCACCTGCCTCTGCCTCCCAAGTGCTGGGATTAAAGGCATGCGCCACCACCGCCCCGGCATTTTTTTTTTTTTTTTTGACATCATGAACTTTTTATGGTCACAAAACAAAAGAAAGCTATAAATCACTGTATTTACCAAATACATCAGTGGGGACTGAGGAAGGCGGGACTTTATAAGTTTTAGATGCTATCTTCTAATAGTCTAAGCCTTGGGGTTGGTGGGAGCCTGTGGTCTGCTGAGTTTAACAATGCATTCCAAAAGTTGCACCTAATAGGCACACAGATGTGAACTCAGATACAGAGCTAGTAAACCTCTGTTAAAGGGAACTAAAGATAGCCCCGTGTCCTTCTGACTCACAATGAGCGACACGGAGTCTCTTCTTTGCGGAGTCTCTTCTTTGCCATCTGAAGTTGTAGTTCAGCCTTCAGCATGCAGGATCTTCAACCCAGATATGGCTTCTTCGGAGAACATCCGTTCATATTGCTTCCCTAGCACACGAATAAAACACAACATTTTCTTCTAAAATGTAAAGTCTTGCCCTACAAGAGGCACCCACACATCCCTGGAGTCCTCACAGGTCTTATCTCCTACTCAATTTTTGGTACAGCAAATATTTATTGAGTGGCTGTCTGTGCCAAATGCTAGGGATTCTGCAGCCAGCCAAACCAGCAGTTGTCTATCATCTGACACTGCCTTAGCCGCTCAGGCCTTCCTTTGTACTTCCGGGTTATCTGACCTCATCCTCATTTGCATGTGGAGATGAAGAACCCGACCCTCCTCTAGGTTGCTTACAACCCCATTGTCAAGATGGCGCTAATTCAGTGGTTCTCAACTTGTGGGTTGAGACCCCCTTTGGGTCACATATCAGATATTTACATTATGATTCGTAACAGTAGCCAATTTAGAGTTATGAAGTAGCAATGAAATAATTGGGGGGGGGGTTGTCACCACAATATGAGAAACTGTATTAAAGGGTTGCAGCATTAGGAAGGTTAAGAACTGTTAAGTTTTGAATCCTGGTTGCCGGGTATCCGCTGCCACTGATGTAATAAACCAGTCCAGCTGAATTAGTAAATCCAGGTTTAATTAACAGAGCAAAGCAATCCTGGGTAACCCTTGGGAAGGCTGGGGAAGAGTCATATGGCAAACATGGCTACCAGGCCTCCAGCGGCCTGCAGACATGGTCTTGAGCAGCCCCAGGGGGTGGGGGTCTGGAATGGGAGGGCAGCTCTAGAGGGGATGCTGTTGGGTGGGCTTTGAGGGGGCGGGTTCAGGGAGAGAGATGGGGGAGGGGAGTTCAGGTGGAGCTTCCACCAGAACCTTCCAGACTCTTTGGGGATATGGATGCCAGGGTGCCAGGGTGCCAGGGGCTGAGGCAGAGTGCCCAGCAGAACAAGAACCACTGCTCTAAGTGAATCTGTGAAACAATGGAGCTAGGAGAGAGGGGTTCATGGGGCCCCAAGCCACTCTGAGGCAGTGGCAGTCCCTGGAAGAGGGAGATTCTTTTCAGTGGTGTGGCCTCAGAATAAGACTGTAAACAATCTCTCACCTAAGACCCTGTAAGCAACCCTAGTAAAACTCATCAGGTAACAGGCTGAACAGGATAAAAATATGTTGTATGTGCTTGAAAATGCCAGAATAATACATATTATAATAATAACTCATTGTTATATGTATCATTAACATGTGCTAGTAAAAAATAAATTAGGGCTGGGAGATGGCAGAGTGGATAAGCGCTTCCACCTGAGGACTAGAGTTTATGGGCCCAGAACACTAGTAAGGAAGACAGGCGACCCCTGGGGCAAACTGGTCAGCTAGAGGAGGAATTCCAGAGAAAACCTGCCTAAATAAATACAGTGGAGAGGAATTGTGGGATGTCAACTCCACCTGCCCGGCAACGCCCATGTAGGAGCACCCCCATACACATGTTAACACATATACAGAGAAACACGAACACACAGACACACTCAAAAACTAATTTAAAACACACACACACACACAAATGAGTCAACCAACCAGGCTTGATGTAGCAAGCCTTTAATCCCACCAGTGAGCAGTGGAGGCAGGAGAATTAAGAAGTTCAAGGTCATCCTTAGTTACACCTAGAGTTTCAGGGCAGCCCGGGCTACCTGCGACCCCGTTTCAAAACCAAAGAATGATTCCACCAATCCAGACTGATCTAGGTCGGATAGCTATGTCACGGAGCCTTGTAATCTAGGGACAACAGAATGTCAAGTCCCTCCTAGTCGGTGAAGGTAGTGTGCGGGAGGAAACTGCCTCCAAGACACGGTGACATATGCACGCAAGCACGCACACCAAGATAAGCAGAGGGAGAGGGAGCCGGGCAGAGCCACCCAGGGTCACCGCCCTGCGAGGTGTGGCCGCTGCAGCCAGCCAAAGTCTCCTGCTCCCAGGTTCCTCTCGTTTGCTTACTACGCCCTACCTGGGGCCCAAGTCACTGTCTCCTCCCTCTGAACCCCAGGAAAACCTAGATGACCTGGGAGATCCGTTCGTGCAGTGCATTGGTGTGGGACCTCTAGCGTCTGCGGGCCGGAGGCGGAGAAATTCGGGTGCAGGGAGCGACGCCTTGCAGGAGGCTGCCCCGCCTCCCTCCGCCTGATTTCGTTGAGGAGGGAGCCGCCCCGTTCCCGCCCCTAACTGGCCAGGCGGCCCGGAGCTTCTAGGAGGTGGAGACCGCGCCGACCTGCAGAGATGGAGGCAGCTAGCACCTGGGCACTGCTGCTAGCGCTGCTGCTGCTGTTGCTGCTGGCGCTGGGACTGCCCAGGACCCCGGCTGGAGGCCACCTGCCCCCGGGGCCCACCCCGCTGCCGCTGCTGGGGAACCTCCTGCAGCTGCGTCCCGGGGCGCTGTACTCCGGGCTCTTGCGGGTGAGGGGACGCAGGGACATCCTAACCAAGGGTGAGGAGGGAGGGCGGGGGATCTCCTGAGTGCCTGGGCTCTGCAAGAGTCTTAGGCTGTTTTAGAAAGAAGGCGGAGGCAAGGGTCCTCGGGGCAAAGGGACTAAGAATGCCTCGAGCTGAGGGTGCGAACGTGCTGACCCGCGCTGAGCAAGGGAGGGTGCCCAGGTTGGGAAGGGCAGAGCTCCCTTAGTCCTGGAAGCGGGACCAAGGGGAAGCGGAACCCAGGAGGGCCAGGGGCAGGTAGTCCTGGGCTAAGAAAGCTGGGAGGGACACAGCTCACAGAGATTTAGAAAGAAATGAGAGCAGGACCCAGAGAGGCAGGGGTCCCAGGTCGCAGGGACCCACAGAATGCTGGGAAGGTAGTGAGCTGGGACCAAAACTGCAAAGCAGGCGCTCTCTGAGGCGAGAATGGTAGTGGGCAAACTTGTTCCCAGTACCCATGTTGGGAGGGAAGCATCTGGAAGCTTGTGGAGGCTGGAGGGGCTGAGCAGAGAGCATCCTGGGCTAAAAGAATCTGCCTCAGAGACTCCCGGAGTGGGAGGATGGGTGTAGCTCAGCTGGGAGGGAGCTAGGAGTTCCTGCCACCGGGTGGGAGGATGGGGAGGCAGTCCCAACCTGCCTGGGGTAGTGGGGGGTGAAGCATTCCATTCAAAAATATTCTGAGGAAATTTTGAGGACAGAAAAAGGGGGTGGGCGTCTAAGGGAGAGAGATGGGACACGTTTCACTGAAACTGCCGTGGGGGTTGAGGGTTTAGCAGAGGTTGGAGTGGGTAGCTGGATATCGGGGAGAGGGGGATTATGGGAAACCAAAACTGGTTGTGGATGGTCCCAAGATCAGAGGTTAGAGCCTGGAAGTGAGAGAGAAGGCACGAGGATGTGTTTAAGAAGCACCCACTCTATACTCCCATGCAGAAAGAGAACAACCTCCCAAGTATTTTTGGGTGGGGAAGGGACCAGTTCCTGGTATAGGGGCAAAAGCCAGACCACATGACTTATCCGAGGTACTAATACAGCCTGGCTGTTGGAGGCAGCTCCTGGGACCAGTTATCACCCTGTTCTCCCTTCCCTGTCTGCCCCCAGCTAAGTAAGAAGTATGGGCCCGTGTTTACCATACACCTGGGGCCCTGGCGCCGTGTGGTGGTCCTGGTTGGGCATGATGCTGTACGAGAGGCCTTGGGAGGTCAGGCTGAGGAATTCAGCGGGCGGGGAACGTTGGCAACGCTGGACAAGACTTTTGGTGATCATGGTGAGTCATGAGGGCAAATGGGGGCTGGTGGGTCCTGCCCCCACTTACAGGTATGGAGGTTATTTTTGCAGGTGCCTCTCCTTCTCTTTGAAATGAGATGTTAAATGGTGACTGTCACTTAGGGTTGTACTAAGGACCAAGTGGAACTGGGCTTGTGCCAAATGAGTGTTTACTCACTAATTGCCGACCTATAGTGACAATAATTACTACTCAAGGGTCTGAATTGATAGACTAGCACTCACAGTACAGGAGCTTGACTAGGTGAGGTGATCCACGTCTGCAACCCCAGCATTTAGTAGGCTGAGACTGTAGGGACTCAAGTTTCAGGCCAACCTGGGCTACATAGTGAGTTTCAAGGCCAGCTTGGGCTACATAGTACAAGACAGTGTGACCCTGTCGTGAAAAAAACACAGGACTAAGTGAAAAGGTTTTGCACCCCGATAAGCCTCTCCGCCAACACAGCAATCCAAATCAGACCGAATTAGAAAATGTCCCCGCGTTCCAGGTGATTCTCCAGGTGATTCTCCGGCACCCCCAGAGAGGAAACAGGGATGAGAGACCAAAAAAAACACGTTTGTTTTCTGGAGTGCAGCTTTTTTTTTGTTTTGTTTGTTTTGTTTCGAGACAGGGTTTCTCTGTGTTGTTTTGGTGCCTGTCCTGGATCTCGCTCTGTAGACCAGGCTGGCCTCGAACTCACAGAGATCCACCTGGCTCTGCCTCCTGAGTTCTGGGATTAAAAGTGTGTACCACCACCGCCCAGCCTGGGGTGCAGTTTAAATACCCTATGGCGCCCTCCCCCGCCTCCCCACCCCCGTGTTTGGCAGGACTTTCTGAGGGACAGGGTCTGGGCAGAGAGGTGAGGCTTCCACCAGAACATTGCAGACTCTTGGGGTATAGAGACACCTGTTCAAATCTGGCTACTTCCTGCGGGCATGGGGCAACATGGAGAAGGGGTGAGTCAGGAGCTGGTGGGCTCACATTCAGCAGGAGGTATGAGTGGAGGAGCACCCAGTAAATTGTCATCCTGGAGACCTCAGGCATCTGTTTCTTGATGAAGCAGAGAAGGCAAGTTGCTAGAGGAAAAAAAAAAACAGATTATTAACATCTGCCCTAGTTATACCACAAAGATGAGTGCACAGGGCAGAAGAGCAGATTGGCCCTTCATTGGGACATCTTGGAAAACGGGAGGATGGAGGGTCCCAGCTGCTGGAAAGACCACATATCCTGAACAAGTGCCCACTTGAGCCTGGAGAGATGGTACCAGCATTGATGTCCCAGGAGCTTGGCAGCCAAGTGGGTGGTGAGGATCACAGTATAAGGTCCTGTCCATCGGGGCTCAAGAAACTTAGGAGCTAGCTGTTTGAGGAGTACTCTGTCCCCTGGGGAGAGTGGGGTGGGCTCAGGGGCAGTTGGGTCCATTGGTGTTGGGGCAGGGAGATAGCTGTCAGCATGTGAACGGAGAAGAGACCTCAGAAAGGAGCGTAGGGGAGGTACCCAGCCAGTGGAGGAGTGTGGGTCAGGAGGTGGTGATTGAGGAGGAAGGGCCTTCCATAAGGAAGCTCAAGAGGGCTCAGGCCTGTAGGAGAGCTCGGGGTGGCCTAGAGGCGGGTGGGGGCGATGGGGAGAAGGGAGGGCCAAGATAACCTGAGTTCACTGAGAGCTTGGTGAGCTGTTGTTTGATGAGACCACTGGCCTTTCCTGAGGATTGTGGACAATAGGGAATGTGGACCTTCCAGGAAATGTTGGGAGCATCTAACACGAGCTGCATGGCCCTGGAAGCAAAGCCTGGCCCGTTGTCCATTGGTATGGTCTGTGGCAGGCCAAATCTAGGAATGACATGTTCCAGGAGTACTTGGGCCACCACATCTGCTGTTTCCCTGCCAATCCTCATCCGGTTTGTGTCCTCAAAGCTGGAGCAGAGGCTGAGGAGGGCCCCCTGTGGGGCCTTGGCACATGTCTGGCAGGAGGAATGGACCTGTGAAATACTCAGGAGAGTGTGTGGTAGCCAAGGTGAGCGTGGCCCCAGAGCAGCTGAGAATAGCACAACCAAGCAGCAGTGCAAGCAGGTCTGACTAGAAGAGTGTGAGAAGAACCGCCCTGCAAGAATGCAGGGAAGACGCTGGGCGGTGGTGGTGCACGCCTTTAATCCCAGCACTTGGGAGGCAAAGGCAGGCGGATCTCTGTGAGTTCGAAGCCAGCCTGGGCTGCCAAGTGAGTCCCAGGAAAGGCGCAAAGGTACACAGAGAAACTCTGTCTTGAAAAAATCAAAAAAAAAAAAAAAAAAGAATGCAGGGAAGTGCCAGGGTCTTAAGTGGGATCCCAGCCACCCCTTTGACAGAAATTGGTGAGGGAACTGTAGGACCCTAGTGAGATGTCATATTGTCCCCTAGGTGGGTTTGGTCTGCACACTGCCTAGCTGCCGCCTGACCTCGAATTCACTCCCGGGGAGTGAGAGTGGAGGCCTGGATCACGTAAAGGTCATGTCAGGTGGGATCGGAGGCCTGAGACAGATAACGGGACTACTTGATATAAACAGAAGGATTAGTAGAGAAGGAACCCAATTACTTTTCTATTTGTGAGAGATCCTGAAGAGAGAAGGGCAGGCCGACCCAGACAATTCCATCATCTCTATCTGCCTCTCAGAGAGGGCAGAGCAGGGCAGGAGTCTGACGAGATCGAGTATGAGAAGAAACAGGAAAATTCGGGGCATCAGGCCAGTGTATAAAGGGGACCAGGAGGTAGGTTGAGACACTGGGGGATAGGCGAGAGGAGAGGACAGGAAGGTGGATAAGGAGGAGGAATTTGGTCTTAGACCTTTTGGGGGGGGATGTGAGGAATGTTGTCCACTGAATGGAACGTGTGGCCCCCGTAGGAGGGGGGGTGGGTAGGTAAAGTTTGGGGAAGTGGGGGAGGGGCCAGTGTCCCCAGCAGCATGGTCAGGGCGGAATTTTCAGGGTCCCAGTTTCCAGATAGGCAGGAATCTGGAGGCACCATGACCCTACCCAACAAGACCAGTGCTGTGGGACACTGGCTGCTGTAGGGAGGGTGGGAACACAGAACCCAAACACCATGGACCTAGGGCAGTTCTGTCCATTTATCTCCACACCAACAAAAAAAGATCGCAGAGGATGGAAAATTCTAAGGTTCCCTCCGGAGGCCACCTTGACTGGTTATCAAGAGGGTACTGTGGCCAGGCCTTAGTGCTCAGAGAAATCAAGTGTTCAGGACAGAATGTATCAGATAATCCCAATTTAAGTAGATTTTGTAAAAGATACCACAGGGACTGAGGTAGAGCTTCCACCAGAACATTCCAGACTCTTTGGGTATATGGCACCTTGGCATTCATATACCCAAAGAGTCTGGAATGTTCTGGTGGAAGCCCCACCTCTCTGCCCAGACCCTGTCCCTCACAAAGTCCCACCAAACACAGTTCCTCCCCGA